GGAAGGGAAAGGGAGAGAAGACAAAGGGAGAGGACAGGAGAGGAAAGGAAAGGAGAAGAGAAGAGAGGAGAGGAGAGGAGAGAGGAGAGGAGAATCAGGAAATGAAAAATGCTACACACACACACACACACACACCACCTTTGGAAGAGACGTTTTCTACTCTTCTGGTCTTTGTAAGCTAGACTTACCCACTCATGACCCAATTGTAGGTCCTTGGGTCCATCTTACTGGCTAGGAACAAAGCATGGCCCCACAAGTGGTTCTTCATAGCCCATTCCAAAGCCTCCTGAAAAGCAAAGCATGACATGCAATAGTACCTTGCCCGTCTTCCTCCAATAAAAACAACAAATGTCCATACATAAAGCATTTCTATACTCCAAGCAGCAGAAAATCCCAGGGAAACTTAGGAAAGGAAGAAGGGAGAGCAGGAAGGTGGGTGTCACTCAGCATGGCACTAGTCTCTAACTTGTCCACGCCCCCAGCCATCATCCACTAGGACATAGCATCAGCATCTTCTCAAACATGGTCACCAAGCAGTCTCATCTCTTTAGCTACAAAATACTTCTAAGAACCTAACTACCAAAAATAAGGGCAAGAGTTCACTCCAAAGACTGGATCTCAAAATATGAGTAGCAAAACTGTATTCCTGTGGCCCTACTGAAGAACAGTGGCCATTTTTTAGCAGCTGTGGCAAAGGTGACGTCTTCCTTCCTAGGCACAAAGGTGGACATTCCCCCACCTCACTGCCTCCTGAGTGTGGCTGAGCATGGCATGGCAATGACAGTGTCACTTCTAGGTTTGGCCCATAAAATCATCCACCTTCATTTCTAATATGCCTCATCCCATCAGGTAGCTGAATGAAGAAAAGGACTTCTCGGGAACCTTGGGAATTCTAAGCTGATGATGGTGAGGGCCGCAGCATCCTGAGTCTGACAACATGGAGGAGGGTTAACCTACTGGTATTCTGATGAGAAGTTATAATGGCTGCCGTGCTTACGCCTGTGTACCTGGGGGCTAGCCTGCAAAGACTAACTGCTTGTTAACTCTCAGATGCTTTCTCGGGATTTATTGGTATGGTAGCGACATTGAGCAAGATGGGCTAAAGCTGCAAACTTTAAAACCACACACACACACACACACACACACACACACACACACACACTTCCTTTTTTGATTCAGCTTATAGTTGACGTTTCCTTGGTAGGAAAAAAAACATGATTTCTGGCAGGAAGTCACTAAAGAAGTAATTCTACCTCCATGTAATAAGTATCATTATTATCCCAACATATCTCCATGTAATCTTATTACCTAGGGGAGACAAATTTAATAGTCACAATTGAGAACTTTAGCCTCAGGTCCAGAGCAAGTGAAAAAAAAAAATGGCATTAAGACAACGACATTTTTTTAGCATGCTTTAAATATTTCATAATTCTTTTTAATTTGTTTTTAAAAGAAGTGGCCAAATGATTGGTTGGGAATTACTGGTTGACTCAAAATTCTGCCCATCCCAAAAATATAACTTACGAATAAGTAAAGAAGTTGAGAACTTATATCAAGGTTGTCAAGATTATTAAATCCCAGAAATAATGCCTGAGTCAACTATGAATAAAGGTATCTTGCTAACCAGTCCTCATTCATCATTCTGCAGTGACGCTCACGGCTCCCTCCACCGCTCACCCACATCTATCGCTCAGTGTGGTGAGGTACCCAGAAGCCTGTGTTCAAGCTCACACTACCCAGATCCAAGCCCCACATCTAAATCTAACTGCCCAACCTGTAAATCTGTAAAAACAAAAATAGAACCTAGCACACAGGTTTCTATGGAGATAAATCAGATAAGGCATAGAAGATATAGAGCTAGTGCCTGACAGGAAAAAAATCATTATTTTAATCTCTGCTTTGTTATTGTTGTTATTATAGATATCATTCATCTTTCTTGAAGGAAAAGTTCAAGACTGATTTATCTCTGTATGCCTCACTGGGTGAGAAGCAGTACTGCAGATAGACTTTTTTTGTTTTGCTTTGTTTTAATAGAATAAATGGATCACTGGGAAAACCACAATTCCCTGGTATATAATGAATGTATATAAAATAGCTGTAATTTGATACCACTTGTTTTTATAAGTTATGTTAAATGCTCACATAAAAGAAAACATCATCTTTAAAAAACTCAAGAGGTAAAGTATTAAAATTTCAAAGTTGGGGCTGAAGAGATGGCTCAGCAGTTACGAGCACTTGTTGCTCTTACAGAGGACACAAGTTCAATTCCCAGCACTCACCTCATGGCTCACAACCACCTGTAACTCCAATTCTAGGGATCTGACACCCTCTTCTGGCCTTCCTAGGCACCAGGCATGCCCATGGTACACAACAATACATGCAGGCACTCACACATACATATACAATAAAAATAAACAATTTTTAATGTCAAAGTTACAAAAGTTACTCAATTTCATTTTTATAAATTAATTTGAAAGTGGGGAAAGCCAACTAAATATGACACACACCCCAAAAAGAAAGATTTGTGGTTTAGACCTGAACATCTTAAAGATCTAAAGAACACAAGCAGTTCAGCCTGCACAGATAAAAGGCTCACAGGAGAAGGTGGAAAAGCCTGTGACAAGAATCGTCACAGGTGAAAAGCTAATTTCATTCATAATAACAGAAGTGCCAATGTATACACTGAATTGTATTTTTTCACCTCTCAGATGGGCATAGATCACAAGTGTGAGGGCACTTTGATGAGGACGCAAAGTAATGGTTTCGCCCTTTGCTCATGGAGCTAATTGATACATCCTGAGAGGCAATTTTTAATATCTATCAAAATTATAAACTGCATACCCTTTGACCCAACACTTCTGCTGCTAGAAATCTATCTTACATATATTCTCTCATAGTGGACAAAATGACAGTGATGTCCTGATGTGAGTTTGAAGTGTTCCCCACAAAAATCCCATGTGTTGAAGGCTTGGTCTCCAGCTATTGGGAGGTAAATGGATGGATCATAAGGACTCTAATTTCACAAGATGGAAGGCATTGTATATGTTGTAATATAGTAAATATTATAAAGAGCAGGTACCGCAAAATATTCCTAAGGCCAAATCCAGAATACTGCCAGTTTGGGTATGGTCCACAAGTTCACAACACTTTGTACCTTCTTAGTAATTAGAAAAAATAAAAATAAAAATAATATTTTATTACATATACAGTTTTAATCCATGTACCCTGTCCATAAGAAAAGTTTGAAACACAGCCATACTCCTTCATCCTGCATTTCCTGTGACTGCCCTCTACATCAAGGGCAAAGTTGGCAAGACCTAAAACAGTCACTCCTACTTTTTTAGAGAAAAGTTTTGCCAACTCCAAAGTTTATCATCTAGGATATCTTGTTAAATTGAAAAATGTGAAGTCCAATAAGGATACATAGAATGGTACCATGAGAAAATAATTATACATCCAAAAAGTATCTCCAGATATTTTTTTAAAGATTTTATTTTTAACTGTGTGTGTATGCCTGTGTGAATGGATGCCATGTGTACGGGCACCGATGGAAGCCAGAGGCATCTAATCCCCCAGACATTGGGTTACAGCACTTATGGGCTGTCTAACATGTGTGCTGGGAATCGAACCCAGGTCCTTTGGAAGAACAATACACATTCTTAACCACTGAGCCATCTCTCCAGCCCCTCCAGATATTATAAAGAGATTAATTTTTTAACTAAGTTAATTTGATTTTAATCATATTTTAAATATTCGGATTTACTGTATGACTTCTATAAAACATGAGCACAACTCCAAAATTAAATAAGGCAACTCTCTCCACGCATTACATGAAAGCATTCAGAGCTGGTAGGAATGCCTGAGATCCAGTGGCAGGGATAGTATTCATAAACAATCTCTCCATAAACTAAGTTGTTGTATATGTGAGTAAACCTTTAGAAATGCATAGCCTTTAATCTACTAATTCCTAGTAAAATTTGCAGTTGCAGAATTTGCAATAACAAAATTGTAAATTGTCTTAGTGTCCAAAATAGTGAATTTAATTTCATTATTTTTAAATTATGTGTATGGGAGGGGGGACATTCACATGAGTTGAGGTGCCCACCTCGGATGGAGGTATTGGATCCCCACGGAACTGGAGTTGTAGGTTATTGTGAGCTGCCCAACATGGGTGCTGGGAGCTGAATGCAGGTCCTCTAGGAGAACAGTAAACATGAGCCGTCTCTCCAGCCCCTAGAATGTTTGTTTGTAAAGTACTTGTTAAGAATGTACAAGGCATAGAGTTGAATTTTTGGCACTACAAAAATATTAAAACTGTTCTATTCGGACATATTTAATGTTATTTGGGTATTTTACTGTGTGATATTAAATGTAAAAAGAAATAAACAATTGTATATGGACTTTGGGTGGGTTGTTTATTTGTTTTAAGACAGGGTCTCCCTTTATGGTTCAGGCTGGCCTCCTACTCAGCCAAGTGAGTGCACCACCATGCCTGGCTCGTCTATGTGACTTAAATTGATTTTTAACATGGAAATGCTAGGAGTAAATATATAAAATGTGAGCAGATGTTGTCTTTTAACAGTAGGAAAACATGAACACTGCAGGTGTGAATGGCAAACGCCTATGTATTTTTTTTTTTCTCCCTGTAACTTTCTGGACGTCTCGCGTGCTCTAAAAGAAATGTGTTCCAGCCTTAGCACTAGAGGAGGGAGAGATGGGGCCAGGGGTGGTGGTCGCTCATCTGAAGGAAGTCTGAGAGAAAGACTTTCTCACCTTCTTCCTTCCATAGTAGAGTAGCTTGGTGAATTTCTCCACGATCTGCGCAGGCGTCTCCACGCTGGGGGGAATCTCCCCAGTGAGCAGGTTGCGAGTCCCGGAGTTCACCACCGGCCAGTCCTCATCCGTCAGGTTGATGAGGTTGGCCACTGGGGGCTGCCTCTTGTACTTCTCCAGCTTCCTACAGTCCTGCATCAGCAGCTCAGCAATGTCAGACCCCACCATGGACTGCAAGGTAAAGAGAGTTATTCCGCCGGATGATTCTCCTGGTCCCCAGGCTGGGCGCCCAGGCTGAAGAAGAAAGGCAGCAGGGTCTCCTGCCTTCTTCCTGAGACAGCCATGCAAATATACCGTAGACCATTTGTGAATGAATTTCAAACATCAGCTTCACTACCGCGGTTACTTCCTGCCTGTGGGCAGCCGCAAAACCCATTGGAACCACTCACGATTCTACAAGTGTATTATCTGGCTGGGGCAATAATCCAGGAGCTGTACAGCAAACCCAGGCAGCGGGAAGGTGCTCTCCAGGAAAGGTCAGCCTTGGCACAATGGCGCTGGCATCCCAGCAGCGCTTCCCCTCTGGGCAACGGTGCTGCTTAGAGACTGCCTTTTATAATTGTGCCAGCCACCAACTCCCATGAAGACTGAGACTTCAGTCCAGGCTCCCTCTGCCCCCTGTATCAACCAAAGCAGTGACTTACCCCGTTCTGTCGACAAAGGAGAACCAGCAGTTGCCAGAGTAGGGCTGAGTCCCGGCTCCCTGGTGTCTCAGACTTGAGACACTGAGCCGCTTTCTGCTGGCAGAACGTCATGATATCCACCTTGTGGATGTCCTCCCTGTGGGACGATTCAGAAAGCAAGGCTGAGCAGACCTCCCTGTTTAGGACCCCAGGCTCCCTGTACAGTAAGCTAGTTTATGAGGTAGAAGCCTGCCAGCGCAGGACTGGAAGTCTGGAACCACAACATTGGTTTTTCCCTACAGGACTGGAAGGAGTTTCAGGGATTCTCTTTGTGCATCCTTCCATCATTTAAGATGAGGACCATGAAACCCAGAGACCTTCAGTGACTTCTCAGAATGGCGTGTAAGAGCTCTGTTTAAAATCAGACAAGACTGGGTCCATGGCTGGCCTACCCCCGCTCAGTTTATACAAACATCTCTGAGCCTCAGTGTCTTCCCCTCCTTAAGACAGGACTAATAAAAGAAACTGCCTTCACACAAAAAGGAACAAGCAAACTGTGTGGCATCCATCACATATATGCTCATTAAGTGGATATTATTATATGCTTCAGAACATTCAACAAATCAGGCCAAGTAGGGCCAGCAGCATACTATTTAATACACAACTCAGTTCTCTGCATTCCCGTGATTAAGACATGGAGATAAAGTGGTGGGGGGTGACATTTAACACTTAAGGAATGACCCTTGAGGTCGTCCTCGGGCCTCTACATTTGTGCACACATAAATGCACACACACACACACACACACACACACACATACACCATAACACTCATTTTTACTTGAAGGAGCCTTCAGTTGTACTATGGGACTTTCTTGAGGCCAAGCTTCAGAATAGGTTATGTATATATAGCAGTGGTGACATTTAATGAGTTTCCATAGGAATAGAGTCTCACGGCCACCACCTTTGGAGCAGGCAGAGTGAGTGCTGTATAATTTCTCAAGGGAAAAAACTTAGGGTGAGCTGATGAACCACCAGTCAGTAGGGTACCTGGGATGCTGGCCCTCTGACACCCACCCAGGACTCAGCACAACTAAAAGCCACCACCAAGTATCAGAAATGTGGCTGGCAATGCTAACGCAGTTCCAGTTCATTCCTGCAGAGGGCAGACGTTCACAATGTCAGGGAACTGGAAAGCAGGGTTACAGCTCAAAGGGGCAGTTTCAATCAATCACACAGGACACTAAAGCTTTTCCCACCAAGTAACCTCTACGAAATGAAACTGTTTTTAGGTGTTCACCTTATTAAGCTAACTTTTCTTTCTTCCCTCCAAATACGAAGCAGCTTATCAAAATTACTTAGCCACCTCCTTTTTTCTCTACTGGCATAGAGAAATCTGTCCCAAATAAGATAGATAGTTTCTTGCACGGAAACCAAGCCCCAGGTTGGAAGATGCCACAGCTTTCAAAAGCCCTTACTTAAGAGTTGGGGAATATAGCTTAGTGGGTAAGAGCAGTAGCTGTGAAATCAAGAGGACATCAGTTTAAATCCCAAGCACCTACATAAAAGCCAGGTATGTGCCTGTAACGCCAAAGTGTGGGGCATAGCGTCAGGCATTTCCTGGGAGCTCACTGGCTGGACAGCCTAGCCAAAACAGCAAACTTCAGGTTCAGTGAGGGACCCTATCTCAAAACAAGAGAGAGCAAGAGGAAGATGAGAGAGCAAAAGAGGAAAATAACAGACGTCTTCCTCTGACTTCTGTGTGCGTGTGCATGCATACATGCACTTACACATGTATGCATACACCTCTCTCTCTCTCTCTCTCTCTCTCTCTCTCTCTCTCTCTCTCTCTCTCTCCCTCCCTCCTTCCCATCTTCCCTCCTTCCCTTAGCAGCTCTTGCGGTACTTTACCTGATGAGCGGTCCTGGGAAACCTCTCATCTCCTCTTGATCCTCAGAATCATTAAGGATAACCTGGAGCAGAAAATAAATTAGGCCCCCAAGACTTGCACCCAGTACCCAGCAGTCAAGTCCAGCATCAGATCCAGGACTGAGGTCCTATGGTGTGGCTCAGTGCCTTGTGGAGACAGTTATCTTGATGAAGATGAGCCACTGGCCTCTCAGGGAACATGTAAGTCTAGTATCACTTCTTTCTAAGAAAAGCCTGCCCATTCCTGCCACAATTGTGGTTCAAGTCCCCCTCCTGGAGATGCCCAGCCTCCAGCAAAGTGGAGACCTGAGGAGAGCAATGGCTTGAGCAGAGTACTTGCACCCCCAAGACCCAAGACCTTGATTACCTCCATGCTGTGCACTTCAACAAGGGCCGTTTGTCCATCAGCAGGAGAGTTGGGGGACACACACACTAGCTGGCCTCCTGGCCCAAAACTCACAGACACGTGGGGAACATAAAACTTCGTGGGTGCCTTGGGAACAGTCGCCAAGGCATCATCTGGCCAACAGACACATGTGGACATTGTTAGGTTTACGTTCACTGCTCTCAAGTTAAGAAAGACATCACAAATACATTTCTGTTCAAATTCCACCTGGGCCAAGCTGAGACTCTGGGTGGGATCTTAGTTAGAAAAGGTCATGCTCTAGTCTGATTTAAACCCCTAAGAATATGTCAGATTAAAATGTGAGGATTTTGATCATTTGGTCCAATGATAATGTACTCATCTCAGCTTCTCGACGATGGTCAGAGGACAAGCGGCCTCTACTGCCAGTGTTTCTACACGTGTGGCAAGCCTCCAGACTAGCATTTATACTTTGTGGCCTCACTTCATTTCACTCAGTCCTCCCTGGTCTTTATTTTCCTCACTTGTTGCTTAAAAGCATCCCAGAGGGCCTCCTGGCCCAACATAATGATGACTAGGAGCAGTGTTCTCATCTAAGAGTCATCTCGGATGCAAGTTCCATTACTAGAGAAGATGAGGAAAAGGGATCCAAAGTTGGCTCCTCTGCCTAGGAGACCTGCATAATCCAGTAAGGTGAACAAAGACCCATTCCAAGAAGTACACAAGGGTAACTTTCCACATGACCCAACCTTCTCTTATGGGAATCAACCAGCTCCCATGGCCACTTGGTACCCACCAGCCTGAACAGGTCTCCAAGTTGCTGATACCATAGGTTCATACGGCTCGGGGACATCTGTCATGTACTGACTGAGTTCATAGCTGCTAGAGCTGAGGCCAGACTCATGCTGTTGGAGAAGGTTGGACCTGCCGACCAGTGATGGCTGGGGGGAGAAAAGAAAAACAGTGGAATTATCTAGAAAGGAGTTCCAGAGAGCTTGTCCTTCCACTTCTCACATTTCTTCCTTCAAAGAAACAAAACTCAAACTTTCCACGAAACACAGTGAATGGGGATTCATGGAAAGAAGACAGTGTCATTCCACTGAGTATGGCCCAGTGGGGTCAAGTGACTTAGAATTCAAATTCAGTTTCTGTTGCCATGTTGCTATGACCTTAAACAGGTGACCTGGGCTTTCCCAGCTCAATACCTTCATCTGCAATATAAATTTAGGAAATCTTCCTATACACATTACTAATACACCAGTCATTTGTGTCTGGATAATGTACATTCCCTGCAGACAAGTGTACAGGAATTTATACTCCAGGAGAGAATAATAAAGCGGTGGATTCAAAGGCTCTTTGTACACTGTAAAGTGCTGTTCACATATTGGGGTTTTATATCAGTCACCTATGTGACTATCCTAGTAAGCACTAGGAACAGAAAAAATTTGTCTACAAAATAAAAAAAAATCACACAAATCTAATCAAGGAGAAAAAAACTAACCAGAGCCTGCCAAAAATTAAGAGCTTGTCTCTACAATAGTTTTGTAATTTGTCTATAAATCTAAAATTATCCTATAATAAAATATTTATCTCAATGCTATTAAGAGCTCTATTTTGTGACCTAGATGGCACATGTATTAAGATTTTAGAGAAAAGACATTAACAAGTCAGGAAAGATTTCAAGGTTGCTTTTCAAACCTAAACTAAAAGAGTCTAACAATTTCTCACTTCCTAAACCTCTAGTACCCTGGGGTGCCAAACACCCAACTTGCAAAGGTGCTCTCTCGTTCTATCTTGCTCTCTCTCTCTCTCTCTCTCTCTCTCTCTCTCTCTCTCTCTCTCTCTCTCTTTCCAAGCACCTCATGGTGAATTAAGTACTCCCCACTTGACAAAACAGGACTAGATCAAATCAGGCCCTTGGACTGATAGGACTGAAATGGGAAGGCTGGGAAATGTAGGGTGAGTGGGGACCCTCCTGGCAGTGGCAGACCCCCACCCCCACCTGCCATTGCCAACCAGGTGGCTTCATGCATGGCCACAGGCCTCTAGTCCCCTGTCACTTTACGTTACCTGCTGTTTCTGGGCCTCACTCTCTGGAAAGAACTCCCCAGGCGGCTCCTGTCCAGAGATAGAAGCAAGACTGTCTTCATACGGATTCTTGCTGGTAGATCTGCAGCAGAATGACAGCAGTGTTGAGACAGGTCCTGAGCAAGCCACCAAAGCTGGCATACTCTCTGCTGGAGGCTGGCCTGGTGCTGAGTGTGGGCAGGTGTCAGGCCAGTATCGGCGGTACAGTGAAAAGCATTTCCTGTCTTTCCACACCTCAATGTATTAGAAAGATGGAATGTTTGGGTTCCACATACAGTGATTAGAAGTGGCCCAGACCTTACAGAGAATGGCTAGTGGCTGCAGCCTGTCCTCCTGGAAGAGCTTAAGTCAGAGCCCTTGGATTGGGATAGGTGAATTCCAAGGCTAAAGGCACCAGGACAAATGCTTCAGTAAAGTATCTTCCCTGCTAGGCCATATGCCAGGAGGATGTTCCACACTTAGGACCAGGAAGAGGGAACAGAGAAGTACCCCAGGCCCAGTAAGGCCTCAGCCATAACAATTATTGCAAGACCACATTGTTTCTGGGGCCAGAATAGGATTTGGTCTTTAGAGGCGCCACAAGTAATCTTATAAGATGTAGACTAGTCCTGAATGGGCAACAGCTCTTGGAGATAAAAATCTCTTCTCCCAGGATTATGCCAACAGTTGGCCTGGGCCACCTTGGATTATTATCCTCATGTCCCTGTGGCTGGAACAAAAGCAGACTGTCTTCCATGGGTCAGGGACCACTGCCAGATACCCTAAGATTGTCCTAACGGAGTCTAACTAAATCCTGTCAGAGTGACTCGTCCCTTCACTTACTGGAATTGGGTCTCACTACTTGTTCCAAGGGGACTATTGCACTTTTCACGATGACGCTCATTGAAGTACTTTTGATCTCCATAATCTTCATTCCAGATATAAGGGCTCCCTTGCCTTGCCGCTGCACCCTCAGAGAAAGCAAAACAAAGACAGGTCACTTGCTGCTTCTGAAAGTCCTTTGAGAAAGATACTGGGGAGCCATGAAGCTGAGGTATTGTGATACATACAGTAAATATGAAAACATATTTACCAAATTGAGTCAACTGATGAGTGAGAGCTCATAACACACTCCGAAACAGTTTGCATGGCTTTATGTAGTTGCACATAGTACAACACCCTATTATATAAGGTATGAAACTCCCATTGGTGTGCATCTGCTGTCCCCAGGATGAAGCGATTATGGAACTCATATTACAGCTCAGCATACCAGGTGGGCTTAAGAGCTGATTTTACTGTTACTTCATCAGTAAATATAACCTTTGCTACAAGAAGGAATAAGAGAATAATGTGGATGAAGTACACACTATCCACAGAACTAGTAACCTAAGAGTAGTCTCAGTATTATTAAAGGGTAGGGTCTCCGAACATGGCACAGATGCTCTCTGGCCCTGGCAATAGGCCACCCGCGCATCTCTAGTCCCCAAAGGCTCTGGAGATTACTTCATACCTCTTTCTTCTTGCAGCAGCTGTGGATGTCCACGGTAGTAATAATTTCCATAAGCATACTCTTCCCTTGGTGTTGGAGTGTGGTATCTCTGATAGGGGTCCTCATAGCCTGACCTGAGACATCACAAAGATAGCCAGTCATCCATTAAGGGCAGTAAAGGGAGAAACCAAAACAAGACTGGATGGACCAGACAACTTCAGAAGACAGAATGATTGCCCAGTCCAGAATCTGCCTGATTCACATTAGGTCAGAAAATCCAGAGTCAGAACAAGGGAGGGCCTTTGCTTCACAAGAAGGCTGGAGTGTTTATAATAAAGCTCTTTTTTTACTTTAAAATGTTCTTACTAAAAGAAATTTACTTACAATTCTTTTTTTATTTTATAGCAATATTCTTACTCCTCAAATATACACATCCAAAAGCACAAAAGCTGTTATCTTGGAAACCCCAGCCCTGGCACTATCTGAGAAAAGCCTCTTCCTAAGGAGATTGTATAAGAACACAATGTCCCACTGGAATTCCCATGCATATTACAGACAGAAACGAGACTATCGCCAGCATGATTGCTGTTATTGTCTCTGTCCTTGACATACTCAATTCCTCTTGAGAACTTAACAGCCCAAAAGGATTGGGGAAAGGAACATTATGCTGTTAGTGTTTCCGTCTATTAATAATAACCACAGAGGCAAAATCCTTTACAATAAATTCTGTAACTTCAGCCTTCATCTGTAAAACAGGTAGATATAATCCCAACCAGAAGAGATAGAGGAAAGTGTGGTGGCTTCCAATATTCTGTGAAATATTTAGTTCAATGCTATGGGCTTGGCGGAGCAGGAGCTCCAGGAACTCCGGGTTCTCCAACACAGAATTACCTCTGTGGTTGCTGTCTCCTTACTTTACAGCCTGAAAAAAAAAATATGCATTTGCCTTTTCTCAGGTGAGTTTTTCTTAAAGTTCTTATGTATTAAGTACTGATCTTTGTTTGCCTGTCACCCTCCAGGTATAGTTCGGACACTGGGGCTTTTGGTCGTTGGTATAGGGCTCAGATCCAAGACAATGTGAAACCTTTCATGGTGACCTAGGGAAAGCTTGACAATCCCAAAGCAAGGAGGTCCCATCCGCTCTCTTGGATTTCTACCTTCTGTCTCTCTCTCAGCATCAACCACCACACCATGGTGGCAGCCTTATGAAGTTCTACTTGGGATAAGGAAGAGGGAAACACTGTCAAAAGTCACTAAACACCACATCAGGCCAGGACAGATTGTAGCTAAGCCAATAGAGAAGAGTGGGTACCCTCGTGTTTGTTGAACTTGACACAAATCTAGATGTATCTGGAAAGGAGGGGCTCTTAATTCAGAAAATGGCTCCATAAGATTGGCCTGTTGGCAAGTCTGTAGGGCATTTTCTTGACCAATGATTGACATGAGAAGGCCCAACCCACTGGGGGCAGACACACACACACACACACACACACACACACACACACACACACACACACACACACGAGCAGGTGGTTGTATAAGAAAGAAAACTGAACATCTCAGGGCTAACAAGAAAGTAAGCATTATTCCTCCACGATCTGCTTCAGTTTCTGCCTCCAGGCTCCTGACTTGAGTTCCCGCCCTGCCCTTCAGTGACGGCCGGTAATGTGGAAGTATAAGATGAAATAAACCCTTTTCTCCCCCAGCTGTTTTGTTTTTGTTTTTGTTTTTGTCATGTCATGGTGTTTTATCACAGCAATAGAATCTTAACTAAAGCAGTCAGGAAAGAGGAGGAGGAGAAGGTGAAGAAGGGAGGGGGAGAAGGAAGAGGAGGAAGAGAAGGAGCTGGACAAAGAAAGGAGGAGAGTTATTAGGGGAAGGAAGAGCAGTGTGGGATGGTTAGTGCACATGAGAGGGCTGAGTGAGGCAGGAGGATGCCAAGTCTGAGGACAGCCTGTTCTATGTGGCAAGTCCCAGGGAATGGAGACG